GGCTCATGACCAGATATTAATTATTATCGTTTGACAGTTACGGTCTTGTTTCTGTGGGGCGCCTTCTCTGACGAGAGGACGGGTCTGTCTTTTGTATATGCTGCTGGCTCTTGCCAGCGCAGTCTTTCTCGGGTCCGAGTCCCTTTGGACTCGCGACCATATTTTACTGTCTCAGAATTGAGACTTGAGAGAAGAGAGAGAGAGAGAGAGAACGAGAGAGACATACACTTACGGATCATCTTCAGAGGGAACATCAATACTTATTCGGAAACCATCATCACAGTAGGCGTTCTGGTTGCTAAATTACATACACACATAATGCCTGGAATACACAATGTACACAATANACAGTATGTTCGTAATGACAAATGTTCAGGGGCACCATTTCTAGATTATGTTGACAAAACCTTTAATTTAATAACAAGACTTTCAATTTCAAGAAAGAACGATGCTCCCATTTGTGCACAGCTTTAAATTTCGATGGGCGAATGAAGGGATGCATAGTGGCATACGACGTAGGTATTTTTGAAACTCCCGCTCTGCTAAATGCTGGATTTTATGCTACCTATGAATTATAACTTGAAAGACTCGTAACAGAAGGGCTTTCGAGGTACTAGCCATAGAAGGATAATTCTACTAAAATTACAAATATCTGTTATTATAATTAATTTCAATTTATTTTACTTTTTCGCGTAAAAGACACCTGCCTTCAATATTCTTTGCTTCATGTATTGGTAGCATTGGTTCTGACCGTTCTGACCGTTCTGACGACGCAGTGTGCTGTGGTCCCCTGGGTATGAGCAATATTTAGTGTTAAAAAGTAAGTTATTTCTGCTACATTATATAATACATATTAATGGTCATTATTTGTACCGTCTTTGTATTTTTAAAGTTCGTGGGCCTGACTTTGTTAGAACATTTGAGGTTACAGTCTACTATAGGGATTAAGTCAGGTTAAACATTAATATATCGCTTGTAATATTTATTTCTTGTAGAGACTACTGCACGAAATACGGTCTGATGTCCCTGTCGTGGTTCTTTGGCAGTAAAAAGAAGGTTCCTGATACTGAGCCACAAGACTACACTGCAAAATCACAAGGTGATGGCTTCGTTTTTGTAGAGAGTGCGGATAATCAGCAAAGTGGCAGTGATTGTGCAGGACCTTCTCATTACCCTGCATTACCGTATTCACTTGCACCAGACTCAACAATTGTTCCACAGACATCTACAAAGGACACAATTAACATATCTCAGAATCACAATTTGTTGTATGGAGTACCTTTTAAGCTGCATTCTGATACTGCTTCAGTCATAAATGACCTTGTGTATAGGTACAGAAGCCATGCTAATGAGGTGTTCTTGCATATATCACAGTTAAATCTGGAATCATTTGAGTATCATTTTCTTGTAGAAAGAAGTGTGGTGCTTGAAGTTGGAGACAGAGATTTAGGTTAATCAGAAGTGTGCCCATCATTTATGGTGATTATAAAGCCTATCACTATGACATCGTGGTGCAGTATATTACATATTGACAATACATTTAGATGTTGAGATACCATAAGTAATATTATCATGTACATATGAACTTGAATGTTATCACTCTAAGGCAATGTAATGGTGCTGAATGTTTCTTTAAAAATAAGTTTGCAGTGAATATTTCTGTAAAAGTAAAATAGTTTAATTACATTCCTCATGGGTAAATTTGAGTGAATACAAAAGAGTCATGAATAGTTTCATTGTGTGAACGTGGCACTAAAACAGGATGAAAGAATTGACCATACCATGTACAGTTTTCAAAAAGGTTTCAATATGACTCTCTTCCTGTCATCATACGATTCATAATGAAATATTTAAAATCCTGCTGATGTAACTTGACTAGCTAACCAATTCCATGCAGTAGAGGGCTTCTTGAGAGGCTAATATTTGCTCAGATAGTCAAGAAATTCCTTGCTTTTGTAGCACCAGAAATTCAGTACTGTGTTCATAAAAACCCGCCTAAATCATATTCCCATAGCTAGATAATTGCAATCACAGTGTCACACCTTATTTCATTATTATGAAGTTTAATATAATTTCGACCGCCTCTATGGTCTAGTGGTCAGAGTTCCTGGCTACAGATCCAGAGGTCCCAGGTTCGATTCCTGGTGCTGCCAAATTTCCTGAAAAGTGATGGGTCTGGAACTGGGTCCACTCAGCCTCGTGAGGATAACTGAGGAGCTATTTGAAGGAAATAGCAGCTCTGGTCTAGAAAACAGAGATTAACAGCCATGGGGATCCGTTGCACTGACCACGTGACACCCTCTATCTGCAAAAGTTGGCACTGACTTTGCCGACAGGTGGCGGTCACTCAGTCAGTATAGTTCGCTTGCGGATTACAGGTCAAGGACTTTGTTTTGTTTGTTTGTTTTTAATATAATTCCATCAATGTCCTGATCGACCAGGCTGTTTTTTCAAGTTTTACAACTAAGGTTTGGTATAAATTTATCATCTTTTCCATGTATAGCTACATGCTTCGTCCATCTCACTCTCCCTGATTTGATATTTGATGAGGAGTAACAGTTTGTGTCAAGGTAGAATACAGAACTGTTATAATACTTAAAACATAACAAAATGGGTTAAAATGAATTGCAGAACAATGTATGAGGATGTAATATAATAAAAATAAACCATGACGTGGGTAAGAATGCTATGAGCAGAAATGGGAATTTCTTGTCAGCATCTGGAAATGCACCCACAGACCATTAACCACTCAAGCTAGCATTTAAACTCCTACTAGCTGAACATTGCAATATTTATATGGCAGTGAACCTCACAGCCTCATGAGGACATACTAAGGATACCACCTTGAGGAGTTAATGTAACACATTCTGCAGAAATTAAACAGTGAAATTCAAAAAGACAGACAGGTTAGGAAATGTATGCATAGCATGAGACTTCTAGTGGAGTTGCTCAAGATATAAGAATACCATACCTCATTATCTCAACAGCTGTAAGACTCGCAGTTTCATCTACAATTTCTATTGGAAACATTTTTCATTCTGATAAATATTTTGCAAGTTATGCCTGAAGTATGTGCACAAGCGTGCATAGGTCTTCATGAAAATGTTATCCTTTTGTCCGATTTTAGCTAAAGTTGAATGTATCAAATTTGAGCAGAACTCCCCAATGTTACATTTCATTAAAATCTGGCAGTTCTCAAGTTGCTTCATGTGTGCAGACCGATGAACAAATGGAGTGGTTTTAATAGGCTGTGCATGGAGATGCAGACATGCCAAAAAGGGATACCAAATTTATAGACAGTGGACAAGAACTGAGTAATAAATGAGCTTGTTAGTACCATCTGTTTGAAAGAGAACTACTGAAAAACCAATGAAAAGAGGGATTAGAGCCAAAATAAACCAAAAGACCAATGAAGAAAAGATACTCAAATTAAATATAGAATGGAACCAGAATTAAACAACTGGATTTAAATTATGAAGCTGAATATGATGATTATGACAAAACAAATAGTGGAAAATTAAATAAAATTAATAAAAGAGCAGCTATACTTCATGTTTGCATAAATAAGATTTATTCTCCAAATTCTTCTAACATTATATATTTGTGTAATTTCTTATTATACAGTCGTAACAAATACTACTGGCACATCTGTGACTAACATAAAACTTCTCTCATATACGTAGGTAAGTAAAAAATTATCCACACTCTTGTTTTTCCAATCCATATATACAAAAGTAGGGGTTGAACAAGTACTTCATTTTTCTACATC